TAAGTAGCACAAGCGACGAATTTTAGGACAGGATTCCAATATGTCTTTAGTTTAATTGTGGTAGCCAATGAAATCTCAATAATTGTTATCAGATTATGAAGAGAACGTAAGACTGGTGTATATTGAAGTAAATCCGCTAGATAACCCTGGATACGTAGTTCACTGTATTCTCTATATCAATATTTAGAATCACTCCTTTATGACTACACAGAAGAACCAGTATTATTGTGGTAGAATCTAGGCAAACCACATAACCCAATTTATGTTTATAAATGTATCACTCGGGTTATTCGTACTTCTTGCATCCTAAGTGGACAATGAAATGAACACTCGAGGTGGACGGTTAAAGTAATACCAGAAGTGGACAGTTAAAGGGACAAACAACATAAATGAACGGATGTTGACAGTAGAACAACGCCGGAAGTTGATAGTTAAAGAGTAAGAAGGAGAGAGAGAGAGAGAGAGAGAGAGAGAGACAGAGAGAGACAGAGAGAGACAGAGAGAGACAGACAGACAGACAGACAGACAGACAGACAGACAGACAGACAGACAGAGACAGACAGACATAGACAGACAGACAGACAGAGAAAGACAGACAGATACATACATACATACAGACAGACAGACAGACAGACAGAGACAGACAGAAAGGCAGACAGAGAAAGAAAAGAGACACAGAGAGAGACATGGACAGAAGAGACAGACAGATAAAGACGGTAATGTAACTTAGACTTTAATCAGTTTACCTGTGTGTCTGTGTATCCCCATGGCGTAAAGGAAATCTTGCATGATTGTTGATCGAAAGGGTAGTACGACACGTCCACGGAACAAGCCGACTTCGAGACGACTCCAATCTGCCATTCACATACGCCATCTTTATTTATCCGGATCTTGTAGGAATTGTCACCCATTTCCGTGAGAGACTCTACAGAGTTGGCAAGAACTAGAGACGGCCGCCAGAAATTATTTTGTCCCAGCATCACCTCCTGCATAGCATTGATGGAATTGTTCCACATCAGGAGTTCATTGGTCCATGTCAGCACTGTATAACCAACGAGGTCAAGGTAGCCGCTCAATTCATTTAACTGAGTCATGGCAACCAAGTTAAACTGCATGTCTACCTCCACTTTGTCGGTTTGTGAATTCCGTGGAAAAATCTTCTTATTGTAAGTACTAAAAGGGGGATTATCTATCCATGATCGCAAATTAGCGGCCGTCTGGGCTTTGGCGAGATTCACACCAAACAAGACGATCACTGCAGCGATCATACAATGTATCAGTCTCAACGAACCCATGTCGTGTGTCAATGAGAACACCAAATACAAATCAAACGTCCATTTCCGTTTCTTGTCTTCTTTAAAACATGGCGTTGACGATAAGGTATACAGTCAGTCGAGTGTTATCCAGTCAAGCTATACCGCCAATCTGCCTTAATGGAGCAGTAGAGCGTGTGACACCAACCTTTTAATCAGCATGCGCACTGGCGACTTAATTGTTTTATTCAGAGATCATTTAAATCACACACATACTTGTCCCTGCTATATTATATGGTAAGGTTTAAGGAGAGACTTGCTGCTGCACTTTGAGGTAAAATACAAGTGAAACGCATATATAGATTGACCAATATAATATTAGAAATATCTTGTCCAACGTTTTCCCGACCATTTTCCAATCCACCTTACAGACAGACTTCTGATCAGTTACAATTTCCCTTACGTTCTTTCCCGAACCAACGTTATTTTGACCACTCATGGTTTCACTACTGGATGAAGATTTCTTATTTGACACAGCGTTCTCTACATCGTTCTTTGATCTAGCACCGCTGCAGTTTTCTGGCCTGTTACGAAAAGTTGTTCTCTCCACCAGTGTTTTTAGGTACTTTGGTACGGGCGAACTTGTTTTGGCGAAGTGGAACCTTAGATTGAAAACTGACACAAAAGTAATCGTAGAGCTAAGCAGTAACATAATAAGCATATAGTACGACAGAAGGGGCATCGGGAGCGAGGCTTGTGGTAAGCTGGCACTCATTAAGCTGAGGAAAACGGCGAAGGTGAGGAAGGCCGCGATGGCGTAGCCGATCCGTTCTCCTGTCTCTGCAGGTAAAAGAAACACAAGCGTGTTCAGAATCGCCAATAGGAATATAGGTAACACTATATTTATCATGAAAAATGTCGGTTTTCGAGAAAGAGTGATTCTGTATAATAAGAAGGCTTGTGTTTTGACAACTTTCATGTTGACTGCAGTTTCCGTTATGTTCCATTCTTCGCTTCCGGCAAATTCATCTGTTCGTATGCTTGATTCCTGAATGTTAAAATCAATTTCCGTATTGGTGTAGCCCCGCGGAGTGAAGATCAAGGTACATTTCTGGACGTCAAATGGGTAGTTTGTAGCGTCAACAGAACATCCGGTCTTACTAACTACTCCAAATGTCCATTTTATATCACCAGAAGTCATATTGATGCGAACAAAGTGAGCAGAATTACCCAATGTCGCCGCCATTAAATCCACGGAGTTGAATATCGAAATTGTTGGAGTCCAAATAAAATCAAAAGGAAGCGAAATTTCTTGGAACGTGTGATAGGATTCGTTGAATGCTTCAATCACAAGCTCGTCTTTCCAGTCCATTTGGATTTCACCAACCATGGTTAGATGTCCGGAAATCTCGTCAAAGTATGTAATGGCGAACAAACTAAAGGACAGGGTGACGTCGACTGGCCGAGACTGGTTATAGCGGGGGAATACATTATTGCTATATGGACAGGAGGAGCAAAAAGTCCGATTTAGAAAGTCCAGGACGGTGTCTGTCATCTGTCCGTTACTAGGACCAGTACATATGAACAGGATCAGAAGCAAATACATACTTCCGTTGCTGCTGCTGCTGGATGTTGAAATCGTAGATTTGTTCTGGTTTTTAGTGTATGCTATGATTCACTCTACCTCCCGTCAGTAATGTTCTTCACATTTCCCACAATGACACCGAACGAAATTTGCCTAGCGTATTGTCAGTGGAAATTCCACATTACAATCGTTTATTTATGTGCACATTTTTCGACTAGAACATTCTTTTCGCGAAATGAAAACAGAGATTTAAGACTGATTTGTTGATGACCAAGTCTACTGGAATAATTCATACCACAGTGAATGCATTTTAACAAGGAGCTAATCGTTTATTAATGTAATTTGACAGTCGTTCGTTCAGTGCAACCGATTTCTTATCTAATTTGAGGAATTTTATATGTTTATGTCAAGTCATTAAACAAGGGTAATAAATATCAAATGTAACTGGAAAAGGAAAAATCAACAACTATAGCGTACCTGTTTAATGATGTACGCTTCATTTAGCCGACTCGCTTTCTATTTGGGTGGCCTTACCTGTGTATATATATTACCCAGAGACTGTACTTACATTGTAATACATGTAAATCACAGTTCCGAACTGTACATTATACATGTATACCATATACATGCATTACCTGTAGATCATACCTGTATACCATACACATGTATTACCTGTACATCATACCTGTATATCATACACATGTATTACCTGTACATCATACTTGTATACCAAACACATGTATTACCTGTACATCATACATGTATACAATACACATGTATTACATGTACATCATACCTGTATACCATACACATGCATTACCTGTACATCATACTTGTATAACAAACACATGTACTACCTATACATCATACTTGTATACCATACACGTGTATTACGTGTACATCATACCTGTATACCATACACATGTATTACATGTACATCATACATGTGTACCATACACATGTATTACGTGTACATCATACCTGTATACCATACACATGTATTACATGTATACCATACACATGTATTACCTGTACATCATACATGTATACAATACACATGTATTACATGTACATCATACCTGTATACCATACACAAGTATTACATGTACATCATACCTGTATACCAAACACATGTATTACGTGTACATCATACCTGTATACCATACACATGTATTACCTGTACATCATACCTGTATTCCATACACATTTATTACCTGTACATCATACTTGTATACCATGCACATGTATTACCTGTACATCATACATGTATACCATATAACATACATATGTATTACCTGTACATCATACCTGTATACAATACACATGTATAACCTGTATACCAAACACATGTATTACGTGTACATCATACCTGTATACCATACACATGTATTACCTGTACATCATACCTGTATACCATACAAATGTATTAACTGTACATCATACTTGTATACCATACACATGTAGTACATGTACATCATACTTGTATACCATGCACATGTATTACCTGTACATCATGCCTGTATACCATACACATTTATTACCTGTACATCATACTTGTATACCATACACAAGTATTACATGTTTACCATACAAAAGTATTACCTGTACATCATACCTGTATACAATACACATGTATTACGTGTACATCATACCTGTATACAATACACATGAATTACCTGTACATCATACCTGTATAACATACATATGTATTACCTGTACATCATACCTGTATACCATATACATGTATTACATGTACATCATACCTGTATACAATACACATGTATTACATGTACATCATACCTGTATACCATTTACATGTATTACATGTACATCATACCTGTATACCATATACAGTTGTGGGACCGCACAACGCACCAAAAATAGCGTGCGCACACCGTGCATACATCGTTCACACACCGTCCGCACATCGTCCACACATGGTGCGCACAACTGTGCGATTTAGCAATCGTTCGCCCCGTTGTGCGATTCTCTCCGCACAACTGTGCGATTTGGTATCATTTGAAGATCAAAATTACGGAATGACAAAAATACGGAAAGCTTGTATACGATAATGTACACTGTGTATATATCTGTAATTTCTCATCACAATAATCAAGATTACACAATTTCACAATGCGTGTTACACAGTATTACAGCGACCGTAAGGCTGTCAAGAATGGGTTTGGCTCCAAGGTAACAGAACAGGTAAATAACAATTTTATGAGTGTCCGGAGTTTTACCTGACCAGTGCCTGACACACAGAGCTGATATGCGATACCGTTTGACCGTAATGAATAGTATTTGTTATTTGCATTCGTTTGCCTATGGCTCCCCTTCACCTGGATTTTCACACCCCCGGCCTTACCCGACGAGTTACGTAAGTGCCCCAGGCGGGGAGAAAACTACGGTCCAGGTACATGTACGAAAGTGGTTATGTTTACCTGTATATGGGATTGTGTTGTAATTTTACATGTGACGATTAAGTTTGTTTAAAAAAAAAAAACAATTTCTAAATATAAGAATATATAGACAGAAAGATAATTATATTGTTGCTAGAATATAGAAACATACGTAAACATCAAGTTTATATGTTTAAACACAAAACCGTATAAATTGTTAAGGCATTCCTCAATTTACACCAACCACGATTGTTATCGCACAGCGTCCGTCCATCGTGCGCTCAGATGTGCGCAAGCAATGATCGTCCAGCTTTTTATCGTTCGCCCATCGTGCACACACCGTTCACACACCGTGCACACATCGTGCGCACACCGCACATCGTGTAACGTTGTGCGATCCCACAACTGTACATGTATTACCTGTACATCATACCTGTATACAATACACATGTATAACCAGTACATCATACCTGTATACCATACACATATATTACCCGTAAATCATACCTGTATATCATACACTAGTATTACCTGTACATCATACCTGTATACCATACACATGTATTACATGTCTGTATACCATACACATGTATTACATGTACATCATACCTGTATACCATACACATGTAATACATGTACTTCATACATGTATACCATACACATGCATTACCTGTACATCATACCTGTATACAATACACATGTATAACCAGTACATTATACCTGTATACCATACACATATATTACCCGTACATCATACTTGTATATCATACGCATGTATTACCTGTACATCATACTTGTATACCATACACATGTATTACGTGTACATCATACCTGTATACAATACACATGTATTACCTGTACATCATACATGTATGCCATACACATGAATAACCAGAACATCATACCTGTATACCATACACAAGTATTTCCTGTACATCATACCTGTATACCATATGCATGCATTACCTGTACATCATACCTGTATGCCATACACATGAATAACCAGTACATCATACCTGTATACCATGCACATGTAGTACTTATACATCATACTTGTATACCATAAACATGTAGTACCTGTACATCATACTTGTATACCATACACATGTATTACATGTACATCATACCTGTATACCATACACATGAATAACCAGTACATCATACCTGTATACCATACAAATGTAGTACTTGTACATGATACCTGTATACCATACACAAGTATTTCCTGTACATCATACCTGTATACCATACACAAGTATTACCTGTACATCACATGTATTACCTGTACATCATACCTGTATAACATACACATGTATTACATGTACATCATACCTGTATACCATACACATGAATAACCAGTACATCATACGTACATCATACCTGTATACCATACACAACTATTACCTGTACATCATACCTGTATACCATACACAACTATTACCTGTACATCATACCTGTATACCATACACATTTATTACCTGTACATCATACTTGTATACCATACACAAGTATTACATGTATACCATACACAAGTATTACCTGTATATCATACCTGTATAACATACATATGTATTAGTACCTGTACATCATACCAGCATAACAAACACATGAATTACCTGTACATCATACCTGTATAACATACACATGTATTACCTGTACATCATACTTGTATACCATACACAAGTATTACATGTATACCATACACAAGTATTACCTGTATATCATACCTGTATACCATACACATGTAGTACCTGTACATCATACCTGTATACCATATGCATGCATTACCTGTACATCATACCTGTATACCATAAACAAGTATTACCTGTACATCATACCTGTATCCCATACACATGTATGACCTGTACATCATACCTGTATGCCATACACATGAATAGCCAGTACATCATACCTGTATACCATACAAATGTAGTACTTGTACATGATAACTGTATACCATACACAAGTATTTCCTGTACATCATACCTGTATACCATACACAACTATTACCTGTACATCATACCTGTATACAATACACATGTATAACCAGTACATCATGTACTTGTACATGATACCTGTATACCATACACAAGTATTTCCTGTACAGCATACCTGGATACCATACACAAGTATTACCTGTACAGCATACCTGTATACCATACACATGTATTACATGTACATCATACCTGTATACCATCTACATGTATTACCTGTTCATCATACCTGTATACCATTCACATGTATTACGTGTACATCATACTTGTATACCATACACAAGTATTACATGTATACCATACACAAGTATTACCTGTACAGCATACCTGTATACCATACACATGTATTGTATACCATGCACATGTATTACCTGTACATCATACCTGTATACAATACACATGTAGTACATGT